GGCCCTACTCCCACTGTTAGGAGTCGCACAAAAACACCAAGCTACACAACTGTAACATACATACAGAAGACCTAATTCAGACCCATGCAGGCTCCCTGATTGTCGATTCAGTCTCTGTGAGCCCTTAGGAGCCCTGGTTAGTTGATTCTGTGGGCCATGTTCTTGTAGTGGTCTTTGACCCCTCTGGCTCCTACAATCCTTCCTCCCCTCTTCTGCAGGATTCCCTGAGTGCCACATAATGTTTGGCTGTGGGTGGGTCTCTGCATCTGCTCCCACCAGTTGCTGAATGAAGCCTCTCTGCTGACGATTATGCTAGACTCCAGGCTATGAGTATAACAGAATATCATTAGGAATCTCACAGCTGATTCTTCAGCCTCAGCTGACCAACATCAATTTCCCAGCAAAGCAAAGGTTTCACTTTAGTGGTTCTTCTGTTTGTTTCTTTGACACAGGAGTTCACTGTATAGTCCTGGCTGTCCTAGAACTCACTCTGTAGACCAGGCTGGCTTCCAACTCATGGAGATCCACCTGCCTCTGCCTCCTGGGTGCTGGAATTAAAAGCATGTGCCACCACTGACCAGCAACTTTAGTGGTTCTTAATTCAAAATATCACAAGAGTGGCCCAGATAGTCTTTGCTTCCCTCTAGAACTTCACAAGCCAGGCCTCCAACATCTTCACTCTTCTCAACATTCTTACCTTCCAGGCTCCCACAGAACAACCCACTGAGCTCTGAGCACTCAATGGCTTTTCCAGCCCAAAGTTCAAATACCATTACAATCCTCCCAAAGACACCTGGTTAGGTCTGTCACAGCAAGACCCCACAACCTGGTACCGATTTCTGTATTAATTAGGATCTCTAGGGCTGTGATAAACAACATGAACAAAATCCACTTGTTTCAGGGGTGGTATTTGGCTTACACTAATACATTGAAATCCATCAAGGAAACAGGTCAGGACGGGAATTGGTCAGCCAGCTGGAGGCAGGAACTGAAGTTGAGACCAGCTGTTTACTGGCTTGTCCCTACTGCTTGCTCAGCCTGCTTTCTTAGAGCACCAACCCAGGACAGCGCCACCCACAGCAAGCTGGGCCATTCCACATAATCATCAATCAAGAAAATGCCCTAGAAGTTTGGACACAGGTCAATATGGAAGAGGCATTTTCTCAGTTGAAGTTCTCTTCCAAATGGTCTAGCTTGTGTCAAATGAAAAAACAAACAACTAGCCAGCAGTCTCTCCTGTTACCTTATGTTCCATTCTATTGTGATGAGAAGACACAAGATTCCAGATCGATTCATTTGTAAGTTCTTGCTAACAGTGTGTGACCTGATGCGTCATCTAAGCGTCTGTTGCTGGGTTTCCAAACTGCTATTACTAAATTTGAGCCTATCTTTTGAGTCCGATTATGTAATTTTATGAAGTTGGGCGCTTCACTATTACGTACATGGAGATACTGTTTTGATACAGGATGTTGCTATGTAGCTCAAGCTGGCCACAAATTCTTGGTTCTGCTTCAGTTTCCCAAATGCTGGAAATATGCCACTATGTTGGGTTGTAAATGCATATGGACTTACAATCACTATATATTCTTGATTGAGTCCCTAGATCGTAATATGGCGACCTTGTTTAAGAAATCTCATTTTGAGGCACTGAAACATTCGGCAGATTTTTAGTTTAATGTGTGAATCTAAATAAATTCTCTACAGAATTATTTTATTTTGTAATTTCCTAAGCAATGGGGACACCCGTCACTGCCAACTATGGGCTTATTTAAGAAAGCGGAGGCAAAGAAGAAATTGGCATAAGGTACTTTGATACAAACCTCATTGTTCATGGAGACCTGAAGTAATAACTAACCCCAATTTGTTCAAGATGTTGTTGAGCAACTAGTCTCTCTAGGACAGCAGTTCTCAACCTGTGGGTCATGACCCCTTTGGTAAGCCTCTGCCTCCAAAAATATGATTACATTATGATTCATAAGAGTAGCAAAATTACAGTTATTAAAGAAGCAATGAACACGGGTTTACAGTTGGGGGTTACCACAACATGAGGAACTGTATTAAAGGGTCACCACTTAGGAAGGTTGAGAACCACTGCTCTAAGGGTCTAGCCTGAGCTGTAGACTAAACAAAGACGAACTTTGTCAGAAAACCTGCACTTGGAATGTGTAAAGCCTGGACTGCATGCAGAAGCAATCTCTTTTGAGTCCTTAGATCGTCTCTGAGATAGAATTTACCTCAGGTAGGCAAAGGTGGGATGTCCCCTCCCTAACTCCCCAACCCTAACTTTATATGGAGCTGACGAGCATGACTTCATCTTGTTATCACCAGCTGCCAGATATGACAGATAGATAGCTATCCAAAAGCAGCTGCACGGACTTGTTGGGTCTGTGATGAAGAAAGAGCACGTGGTTCCCTCCATCCCTCGTTGCTTAGTGTTCTTTTACCAAGGTTATTGAGAACAATGGGAATTTTTCACTTATTCACAATGGGTTTTGCTTTTGCTGCTGTTGTTTTTAGATAAGGTCAAATTCACTAAAAGCTTAACCGGTTTCACTCTCAGCGTACAATGTGGTTATTGTTTTGTTTTGCTTTTTTTTTTTTTTAATCCCACTTCTCTGGGGAAGGATTTAGCAAAATTAAAAAGTGAGCAGCAGCTTTCCCTTAGCCAATGGGTCTTGAGCTATTTTTCCACGCTGGGAAGCCATGGAAGCAGGAGGCCAAGACAGCTGGGAACCAAGCCTCCTTAGACTCAGTAAGGAGCTTCGTGTTGGCCAAATTCAACACTACAAACTGGAGCAACTCCCTGACCAGAGTACATCTTGTGGGTACATCTTCTACTCTCTTCTCATCCTGTGCACCCAGCCCAGGACCTGCTGCTGCCATTGCCATGGTAATTTGGCTGCGTATAAGATGGGGGTCAGTAGACAGAGTGAGGGAATATGTGTAGTGTTCAGCAGTAATTACTGCTGTTAGATTAGCCTGCTCTTGATGTCTGGTCCATAAGCAGTACTTGGGAATCCTACGATGTGTCTGGCCCTCATCACAATCCATTTGGAGAAGCCTCAGGATGGCTCTCTCTCATCTGGCAGAGGTCTCTAGCTGCTCCTGACACCAAATTTAGCAGGCTTGGTATTTTCCATGATATCATCTTGCCTTGAGATCTTTTTGTCCAGGTCAGGAACCAATCAGTTCAAGACTTCTCTGGAAACTTAATGTATCAATCCACTGAAGCAGAGCACTGCTTCTGGCTCTCCTGCCTGTCCTTTCATGAGCAAGATGGTCTGAAGGCCAAGAGCTCTCCAGGTTCGAGATCAGGCACCACCTGGAAGCCCCTCAATTCGAGCTACCACCATATAGGTGGACAGCAATCAGATGAAATCTAGAAATATCAGACCTTTTCATTGTAATGGAAACACAACAGTAACAACATGTACCCCCAGAGAATGGTGAGTAAAGGGGAAGCTGCCACTCAGCAGGGCTACACCAAGATGTAAGTCTAACAGTTCTGAAAACATAAAACATGGCAGCTTGCAGTCTGGAACAGTGTGGAGAAGCGTGCCAATGTTGAATTGTCTCCTGCCTTTTCTAGTTTAGCCACTAGTGTTAAAACAGGGAGCTAGGCAGCCACCCCAGGAAAATAACTGCTATTTAAAATTCTTACCACAATTCTACATGGCGAGAGTACTGCTCTTAAGTTCTTCCTGTTGAAAGCAGTGGTCCGATTCCAAAGGGGGTCAAACTGGCTGTGTGCACATCTATGTGGGAGTTAAGACGGAGAAGTATGGCCAGGGCTAGGTGATCATTTGGTGTCTGAGACTTCCTGCTTCTAGCAGATTGATTCTGCTTGGTCACTTTCTTCATGCTCAGAGACATTTAGAGGATATGCTCCCACTGTCTTAATACTTCCCATGCTCAGAGCCACACTGATAATGACTTTGGTGCCTGCTGACACCCACCCACAGGATCAGGAGACAGGTGTCTTGCATAAATCTGCAGAGTTGCAGTATTCCACATCAGCACACACTGGTACACAGAACCCTAAAGTGGACACTTTCTCTTAGCTCCTTCTGGCTGGCAGGATGAGGATCAGCCTCTATACTGCCAGTCAGACGTTACCTGAGGATAAGGAAGACAACCTACTGCTCCCACTTCCCACATGTGGCTACCTTGTGAACCACAGGCCTGGGAAAGCGCTGTGTCCATGTCTTCCATGAGGAAGTTGTTACTTTTCTCTTCATTTTGATTGTGTGTTGCTCACCCCACACATACACACTTTTTCTCAAATCTAATCTGGTAGTTTTCTGTTTTCTTTTTCTCTCTCACCATTCTCTTTCAAACTATTTAGTTTTCCATTTCTTTGACCTATCTTATTTTTTGCACCCCTTTTTTTCTGCTGTTATTGGGAATGTAGCATGTGTTATTGTTTCATGCTATCTTTATATATTTGGCTTGGTTTTGTGCTGTTATCATTATTATCTCAGGTTGTTTCCTCCCCATGGAGCCACCCAGGGACTGAGCCCTTAAGAGAAGACTGATTGCTAAGACTTTCAGGTAACAGTAGAAAAGTATCTGTCTCAGAAGGTAAACACAAAAACAATACGAAAAATCAAGAAAAAATAACTCCACCAAAAGCCAATAACCTTTAAATATTCATATGTAAAGATAATGATGCTAATGAAATGCTTGCCGAAAATATTCTGAAGTCTACTGTAAGAAAGATAATAACTTTAAAAGAGTACAAATAAAAAAGCAAACAAATTTTAAAAAATTAGTCAGGACTTGGATGAGAAATTAAGCAAAGAGAAGAAAAAAAATAAATTTTCTGGGAAATAATCTTGTAAAGCTTAATAAAGACTCCACCAGAAGCTTCAGCAACAGACTAGTGCAAAGAAAGACTATGAGGAACTGAACACAGGCTGATGAATGCTTACATTCAGAGAGCAATAAAAATGAGAGATCATGATCATAATATTCCATACTTGTGGGACATGATTAAGAGATGAAATGTATGAATCTTTTGTTATAGAAGAGGGAGCTGAAATACAGCCTAAGACACAGAAAACCTATTTCATAGCTGAAAATACCTCAAATCTAAGGAAATATATGGATATCCACTTCTCGATGTAAAATTCTAGTGAGATTCCAGGAGTACCAAGCAGAATACTGAAAGCTCCGAGAACAAAGCATCTTACAAAGGAAAACTGGTCAGGAAAACAGTAGAATTCTCAGCAAAAACTCTTAAAGCCAAGATAACAGAGAATGATGTATTTTAAACCCTGAAAGAAAATAGCTACCAACCAATAGTAATGCTTACAGTAAAAGTATACTTTAAAATCGGTGGAGAAATAAAACCTTCCAAAATAACTGTAAACCAAAATAATTCTACACCATTAAGCCAGTATTGCAAATATATAAAAGAATCCTACACTAACAAAACAATATACCCAATACTAAGGCCTTATGAAGGGATAAATCTTACTAAACAAATAATCAAATGATAAATAAGATAGAAACAGTATAACAATAAAGCAGCAATACTCTATGATTAATTTGGAAGAAAATAATGGAGTATTCCAGACAACCAGAAAAAAAAATAGAAATTAGTATTTATTTTTCAATAACAAACCTAAATATAAATAGTGTTGGCTCTCTAATTAAAACAGAGACTGGCTCCTTCAATTAAAAAGGATTCAATTTTTGTTACCTGTATGAAATAAACATCACTGGCACAGTCACACAGCCTGAAAGGATGGAAAATGATATTCCATAAAAATGGACCCAGAAAAGAAGCTACACAGAATAACTATCCTAATACCCAAATAGATTTCAGGGCAAAATCAGTTGCAACTAAAAATGACTAAACACGACTAAAGGGAACAGTTTCATCAAGAAGATAAAACAATGTGTACAAACACATACACACAGTGAATACTGGCAGGACAATTTCATAAAACAAACACGACTAGACATAAAGAACAGAGAAGTCCAGATACAATAGTAAGTGATTTCAACACCACACTCTCATCAATACATAGAGCACCTAGACAAAGGATCAGTAAGCTTTAAACTGTACCAAAGACCAAACAGCCTAGACACAGACACACTTACACAGACAAAGAATATTCCAGTAGTTCCAGAATACACATTTTTTTCAGAATACACATTTAACTCAGCAGCCCATGAAACTTTCTCCAAATAAGTTTATATCAGACCCCAAAGCAAATCTTAACAAATAAAAAATATTGAGTAAGTTTTTGTACTCCATCAGATCAAATGGGATAAAACCAGAAATCAACATCAAGAGAAAATAAACTACTATATGAAACTTAAACACTATGCTGTTGAATGATAAGTGGTTCACTAAAGAAATTGGAAGATTAAAAACTTCATAGAATCAAATGAAAATTTAAAAAAAACACTTATATGAGTCTGTGGGCTACAGTAAAATCAGTTCTAAGAAAGAAACTTATATAGTCCTGTGTATCAACTTTAAAGAGACATCAAGAAAATAACCTAATGATGCTATCTCAAGGTTGCAGAAAACAAGAATAAGCCAAACCTAACATCTACAGAAAGAACTGCTAAGTTCCAATCACAAATTAACAAAATGTGAAGAGAAAATCATGAAGGATAAAGGAAAGGAAGGCTACTCGCTGGAAAAGATACAGTGGAAAAGCAGCCTAAGTAACCTAAGTAAAAGAGAGAAAACTGGAAACGAATACAATTAAGAAATCAAATAAAATTGTTACTACTGAAATCCAACTTTCTATGATACTTCATGATATGAAATATACAGACAATTAACAAATATATTTCAATAGATTGAAAAATATGGAATGTTCTTCTGGACACACATTAATTATGAGGGTATAAGAAACTAAAGAAATCTATCATGGACAATGTGATGGAAGTAGTAATAGCTGCCCAACAAAGAAAACCAAGGACTGAAATGGCTTCACCGCTGCATTCCACCAGACATTTGAAGAACTTGGACATCAATGTTCCTCAAAATATTCTATAAAAGTAAAAATGAGAGTACTTCCAAACTCATTCCCCTGCTAAGAAAACACTGGATAGGGAGGGAGGGGAAAAGGGATTACAAACCAATTTCCTTCATGACAACCCTAGATGCAAATATCCCCAATAAAATGCTTGCAAACTCAATACAAGAACACAGCAAAAAGATCATATGCCATCAACTTGGTTTCCCAGTAGGAATGAAACATGGTTCAGTATACACAAATCAACAGACCCTGATCGCACACAGAAATGTGGACAAAGCTCCCATGACATTTCAATAGATATTGAAAATGACACAACTCAACACTCCTGAATGACAGAAGTCCTGAGAGACTAGTAAAAGACGGCTCTTATTTCAACACGAGACAACTGTATTGCCAACACTACACTGAATGGGAAAACTGAAAGCACCTCCTTTACAATCAGGAAGGAGCTACATGCCCACTCTAACCACTCCTGATCAAATAACTTTTGAAATCCTAGCCACAACAGCAAGGGAAATGACAGGGATATGACAAAAGGAAATTAACTGATTTACAGACAATATATGTAAGACATCCAAAAGACCCAGAAGCTTCTTCTGATAATTTCGGCAAAGAAGCAAGATGTAAATCCAACACACAAAAATCAGTTTCTCGACACACCAGCAAACTTCATGAACTAGAAATCAGGAAAACTCCATCCATGATATCTTCAGAAACATATCCCAACAACCAGCCCAGTCCAACTTGCAGAATTCCACACCAGTGGACAAGGTGGGCAGTGTCTGAGGACTAACACCTGAGGCTTACATCTGGCCTCCACATGCTCACATGGGTATATACACAAACACAAAACACCTACGTGTTAGAAACTTAACCAAACATGTTAAACACCTCTACAACAAAAGTGCACAAGACACTAACTAGAGACAGGAAGACCTCCCATGCTCACTGTTGGGCTAAATACCTAGACCAAAAGTGATATGCGGATTCAATGCAATTTTAGTCAAAATTCTTATGACAGTCTTTATAGAAATATTTTTAATGCTAAAACTTTTATGAAAACAAAAAATGCCCCCAAATAGCTCACACAATCTTGAGTAGGAAAGGTGATGCTGGAAATAGCGTATCCGACTTCCAACTATACTATACACTCCTTAAGGCAATTAAGTGGGGTTGGGAAGATGTGGGAGTAAGAACGTGATCAAAACATATTTATGAAATTTGCAAAAAAAAAAAAATTAAAAAGAATAGCATGGCAGTGGCACAAAAACAAACATACAGACTATCTTGTAGGCTTATGCTAAGTGACCTTGCATTTGAAGGAAGACAATCATGTGATATCATAGGACTCCAATCTAAGGAATTGTGATTCTGTGAGTTTGAGGGAACTAGAGGGGGGCACTCAGGAACTGGCATCCTAAGCAAGGTCCTTGTTGTTTACATCCACTACACTAGCAAGAAAGCACAGCACAAGACTCCTGCAACTTATCTGTTCTCAAAACACATGTTCTTAGTTCTTTGTGAATATTACAAATCTTAAATTATTCTTGGCTTCCTTAAAATTTGCCGTAGGCACATGTCCGTAAGTTACCACTTGGCACACAAGATGTAGACAGTTACAAAATGTCTATTTAAGCAGGTGTTATGTGCTCACAGAATATTGTGAAATTATGAGCTGGAGACAATATTACTTGCATTAGTTGACATAAGACCTTGAATTTGGGTACTGTTTCATCATTAATGATGAAACATACAGATGTCAGAACCAACTGGTTTGTTTCCATATCACTCATTTATTTTAATGCAGAGAATTAAGAACGAAATACCTTAATTCCTAGAGTAGTTTAGAGAAAATCTTACTGAGTTTGTACTTGTTATTTTGTATTTGGAGGAGCTACTAGATCTTCAGAAATCAAAAAACAAGAGTTCTGGGAGAACATTTCTGGATACAGGTTTAATGAGAAATCAAGATGCCATCCCATCAAACAGACTTATCTTCTTTTAGGTCTGGGAAAAATTTGAGGCTGGCATATTCACCAAATGTGCTGACCTACTGTCTCTTCTGAAGGGAGACTGCTGGTTGGCCTGGACTTGAGCAGGGCCTCAGAGTATCTTCTGAGCATCTGTGGAACCAGAAACAGGATGCAGGCTTCTGGCTGCTGTATCACTACAGCAGCTTCTTTTTTATTCTCCCTAACCACAACCTTACACTCTGTCCTTGTTTGTTTTTATTGTCAAATTGACACACCAAGAGTCATGTGGAAAGTGGGAGCCTCAACTGAGGGACTGAGGACGTGCCCAGATCAGAATGGCCTAACCTTGTCTGTAATGGTTTTGATTGTTGACTGATGTGGGGAGACCCAGTTTACTGTGGACAGTGCCACCCAAGGGCAGGTAGTCCTGGGATGTTTAGGGAAGCTGGCTGAGCAGGAGCCAGGGGGAGCAAGCCAGTGAGCACCTCTCTTCCACGTTCCATTCCCTGCTCCCGCCTTAGCTCCTATACTGACTTCCCTATGATAGACTGCTACCTGGAAAAGGAAGCTAACACAAACCATTTCCTCCCCAAGCTGCTCTTGGTTGTGGTATCTATCACAGCAACAGAAAGAAAACCACAATTACTTTCCCACTTACTAACATAAAACAGCCAATTAACATAACTCTTTAAATTTCTCTAAGATAATTCTACTAGAGTCCAAATCTTCCAATAAAGTAAAAGCAACAAATAGAGTAACAACTTTTCTAAAAAATGCCCTTGTGGAAGTGCATCAGAACATAGAATACAATAAAGAAATCGTTTCCAAATTCAAATGTGTCAATCACTCCTTCCCTTCTCTGTACTTAACACCTCATACAAAATTCGATTATTTGTCCACTTGTTTTATACTGAAGTTTTCTAGAAGTTTCCAGCCATGACAGCTTTGTGTGTTTGTTTTTGTTGTTGTCTTAGAAAGGACAGCGATGTGAAAAAATTTATTTGTTGAGTATATTTTGCCTGTAGGTGGCCACAGGTTTCCTCATTTGAGTACTGGAATGATTCCTCTATAGAGCCAAACATTCTTCTGTGAAAGAATTCTGAATCATTCATTCCTCTTTCTGACATATTGTTAGCCTGAACCAAAAGTGCAATCTGGACCCCTAAATATTTGGCAGGTCCTAGGTGCATTGAAACGGTTCTCAGTGATCTTGGACTAATTCACAAATGATGATCCCGACAGGTGAGACCCAGGTTGACTCTAGACCAACATAGAAAATGAAACAGCCCCAGTAAAAACCTTCGACGGTGTAATAGACCTGGTCCTCCATCAGTTGAGGAAAACAACACTTCCAATGTGTAGTTTTCAATTAGCTGTTTCTCGGCTCTGGGTTAGATGCTGACCTATCTTTCCCTATTCTCAGCTCTTCTCCCTTCTGATAACGTATCTAATTAAGTATGCTGTCACTATTTCTTTGCTCTTACAGATTCTGCACTCATCACCAGGACACTAACATGCAGCCAGACATGATCTGGAGAACTCTAAAGGCCTTCAGCTTAATGGAGTCTGTTTTGAAATCTCAACATAAAAATGTTTCCCTACATTTTCTGTACATTCTCATTTTTAAATATGGTCATGTTTAAATCACAGGGAGATTATCTGCACTGTTCTGAAACTGTAGGTGGTCTGCCTGACTTTCTAATTACAACAAGGTGGAAAACAGCAAGGTTCTCTGCCATAGAGACTGTTCTAGTCAAGCCAGAAAAATCCTAGACCCTAAAATCCAATCACAGAAGAGATGACTCAGATAAAGGAGCTTGCAGCCAAGCCTGATAAGCTGAGTTCCATTTCCAAAAACAAAATGACAGAGAACTTACTGTCAATTACCCACTGACTCTCGCATGCTGAGGTACACAACAGCCCCCCCAATGTAATTTAATTTTATAAAAGTGTGCATTCAGCATGCATCAGCTATATATTTGCAGTCTTTTTAGCAGTAAACTCAGAAGTCAAGATCCTCAGACCAATTCTATACTGGAAAAGTTTTTTTTTTCTTTCTTTCTGCTATCTGGGCCCTATGGTTGCTCAGTTTCATGACTGAAGGAAAAAAAAATAGACATGCGGGGTTAAAGCTGCTTCTTGCAGTTATCCTCATGGAAAATATCATCTTAATTGTGCTGTAGAAAAGGTGGTAAACACAACTGGAGGGGACAGCCAAGCTCTATGCAATTTAGAGATGGGACTGTAAGTCACAGGGAGACTCCGAATGGTACCTGGCAAAAAACTACTCTTGTGTGAAGCCTGGTGTACAGTTTTATGTATACATTGGAATGTATATGTTTATGTATACATTCTGGAAAGTGTTTGGGAAATACATTTGAGAATGCAATTATTAACAAAGAACCAGTTGACAACACGACAACAAAGAAAACTACTACTCAATTAAACCAGAATGTGATTCTGGGAATCCGGTAAGGTATTGCAACAGAAAGAAGTATCTTTTATATAATCAAACGTATTACATGTTTTAATGTAGATCCACCTGTGTTGGCTAACTGGCTTTAACAGAACAATGAACTCACATATACTGGAGGAATTTGGGGTCTTGGAAGCAGCTGCCTAAGGAAGGGCACTGGTGGTCGGCGAGGCGGGAAGAGCAGCTGAACGTGCTGTCACAGCCTTTGCATTTGTACAGCTTCTCGCCGGTGTGGATTCGCTGGTGGCGGTTAAAGCTTGACCTCTGAGTAAAAGCCTTGCCACAGTCTTTACAACAAAAGGGCTTGTCCCCAGTGTGAACTCTCTGGTGTTGAGTGAGGCTTGATCTCTGATTAAACGCTCTGCCACAATCTTGACAATGGTAAGGTTTCTCTCCTGTGTGGATTCTCTGGTGCTGAATTAGAAGTAAATTGCGGCTGAAGGCTTTGTCACAGTCTTGACACTTGTAGGGCTTTTCTCCAGTGTGGATTCTCTGGTGTCGAGTAAAGCTTGATCTCTGAGTAAAAGCCTTGCCACAGTGCTTACAATGATAGGGCTTATCTCCAGTGTGGACTCTCTGGTGTTGAGTAAGGCTTGATCTCTGTTTAAAAGCTTTGCCACAATCTTTACAGTGGTAAGCCTTCTCTCCAGTATGAATTTTCTGGTGTTGAGTAAGGAAAAAAACACGATTAAAGGCTTTGCCACATTCGTTACATTTATTGGGTTTCTCTCCAGAGTGACCTCTCTGGTGTAAACTGAGGCTTGATCTTTGATTAAAAGCTTTGCCACACTCTTTACAAGAATAGGGTTTCTCTCCAGTATGAATTCTCTGGTGTTGGGTAAGGCTTGATTTTTTATTAAAAGCTTTCCCACAGTCTTTACAATGGAAGGGCTTTTCACCAGTGTGGATCCTCTGGTGCTGAGTCAGGAGTGAATTACGGTTGAAGGCTTTACCACATTCTTTGCATTTGTAGGGCTTCTCTCCAGTATGAACTCTCTGGTGCAGGCTAAGGCTTGATCTCTGATGAAAAGATTTGCCACAGTCTTTACAATGGTAGGGCCTCTCTCCAGTATGAATCCTCTGGTGCTGAGTAACAGTGGATCTTTGATTAAAAGCTTTGCCACAAAATTTACAGCAGTAGGGCTTCTTTCCAGCATGAATGCTCTGGTGTTGAGTAAGGAGGGACTTATGGTAAAAGGCTTTGCCACATTCTTTACATTTGTAATGTTTGACTCCAGAATGAATTCTATGATGTTGTCTAAGGCTTGAACAATAGGTAAAAGCTTTGCCACATTCCTTACATTTGTAGGGTTTTTCTCCAGTATTACTTCTAGTAAGGCTGGAACTTTTACTGAAAGCTGTGTTACAATCCATCCCCTTAGAAATGTGATCTTGAATATGGATATACTGGTGGATAATAAGTTCTGAGTATTGATGAAACACTGTGTCACATTTGAAACATTTGTAAAAGTTCTTTGGGAAAGGAGCAGGCTGATGATTAGCAGGATTTGACTCCTGGGTTAAGCTGCTATCATTTTCATTACATTGATAGACTGTCTCTCCAATGTAGGTGCCCTGGTGATTGCTTAAGGCAGACTCCTCAGTAAAGGCCTTCCTATTTTCTTTACATATATATTGGATTTCTAAAATATCTGTATTTGAATTTTGACTAGGTGATACTGGATGTGTAAAGAACCTGCCATATTTATGGAAATTCTGTGTTTTGGCACATGAAAGACCTATTTGTTCATTATATACTAATGAATTTTTCATAATGGAGTTCTCAAACTGATCACATTTAGAAATTTTTTCTTCATTTTTAAGTTCCTCATCTACAAAAATGTTTGAATGAAAGTTTAACCCATAGCTACATTTGAAACTGTTCAAGTCATTAACTGAAGAATGGACTAGACCCCTTTGTGTATTTCCCAAATTATCTTTGAATGAAGAGGCACATTTCACAAACTGACTCTGATGTTTACTGACAGAAGCACATGGCTCTTCACAGATAACGGGCATAGCCTGAGGGCTCTCTTGAGCCATTTCATGTTCCCGCTCTCTACTGGGAGGAAAGCTTCTCCTAGTCTCAGCTGTAACAAACAGGTTATGTCCATTATAAAAGGTCTTCTGAACTTCACGCCCCTCTATACTTTCCCTTTCTTCTCTGAAGTACAAATTGTCAAGGCCACAATTCCTATGACTTCCATTGATCAGTTCCTGGAATGAGTATTTTAGGTTCTCCTCTGGTGAAAAGTCTTGGTTATAATGAGGAAACAGAGCTGAAAGAAATCAAGACAAAAAAATGATTTCACTCACTAGACTCTGATGAATACAACTTACCAATCTAGTATCTAAAATCATGCTGAATTTAGCACAACAGCAAGCAGCAGAACAGAAAATCTATGGCCTTCATTGCTTCACTAATACTGAACACAGTGACCCTGGAAGAAAATAAGCACTCTATTTTTGTTTATAAATACTGAATTTTACTTCTGTAAAATGAAAAGTTTATAGAGTTGTGTTGCACAACAATTTGGATATATTTAACAGTATAAAACAGAGTAATAAAATCTTTCAGACAATTAATTTTATGTGGGTTTGATCATGGTTAAAAGCTAGGTAAGAAAGAAATGAAACTGAAATTTCTCAAAAGCTACCTTAAAAATCAAACTGTTTCTCTTAGAGATGCAAACAGATTTATCAAGATACAGATGATAAAATAAGGTAACTGTCAAGAATATTCACTGAGACAGGATGAAATGACCAATGAATGCAATCCAGTTAGAAAACATCCCAGTCATAAATAAAACAGGGGTACTATTTATCCACAAAAATAAAAATATACACAATTTTACTAGTAATAGACACACATAACTGAATCTTATTTTAATTTCACTATACACTGTACTGTAATATATAGCATTTGTAATAGACATTCAATAATAAAATGCAGATAAAACTAGTAATATTAATGGATATAAGGAACCTACTATAAAAACTGAAAATACGGGGGGAAAAAAAGAAAAAGAAAGAAGGAAAAAAAGAACCATTGTCCCATAAAATCCTGAACAAACAAAACAGGTGGTAATTAAAAATGTCTTTACAGAAAACTAGTTCTCAGTTTTGTCTCTATATACCTGTTAATCATTAGCAGTCAGTGTTTAGTAAAAAAAAAAAAAAAATTCACAGAAAACCTATTAAAATGTTTATAAAAAGCTCTGAGACAATTAAAAAACAAATATATAAATGATGTTAATAGAAAACTTCTTTCGAAGTTTTAACTTCATTAAAACATTATAGTATATTGACGAACAGGTCCTGAGAAGTGTTCACAGATTATCTGAGGCCCCCAAACGTCAGGAAAGAACTGTCACATTATACGGCGCCCCACAGGTGAAGGGCGCCCCACAGGTGAAGGGGAAGATTTCAGCTACCACTGTGAATGTGCAGGAAATCACTGCAGGAGGATGAGGACCAGGCTTAGAGGATTTAGAAGGATGGTAAACACAGTAGAAGTGCCCTTCAGTGACAATGAGAGGACAACCAGAGCTGTACTTTGAAAAAACAATGCCAATGGAACTGAGCTTCCTAACACATCTTTTAGGCCTGGCTCCCTCCAACCCTGGAACGCTCATCTTGTGCTCAGTTTCATCGTTCCTACTGACCTGGGAACAAGAGCACTGTCTTCTGCCTCTTTACATTCCAGGGCTCTTTCCTTTGCTCCAGACAGGTAACCAGGTATGGCTTAGACACGGCAAGACCTAGTTATTGGAAAACAGAACAAGACACTTACTTTCCTCGTAAGTACTAACATATCTGGCCTAGAATTATGTTCAGTATGAAAGAAGATACATAATAGATACGTAACAATATTCTAGAACACTACTTTTCCAAATGTTATTTCCCTACAGATATATAGTAATATATTTACAATTTACAGATTCTGCTTTTGTCTACTACCAAATCACAGATAAAGGGGGAATAATTGGACTTTAAGTGTAAATTATAATATTTTATGTTACTTGGCTACTATAATTAACACTAATTTTAACTTGGGATATATATTACCTGAAGAAAGAGGTAGAGGATAAAGATAAAAAAAAATAGGAATATTTATTATCTATTTCAATACTACTTCCCCCCATTTTTCCCCTGAAAACAGAGGCTCCCATGATATATTCAGCAATGTAAGGAAACTGAATGTTAATGCTGAATTAGTAATTCTGTAGAGAAGTTATCCTTACCCAAGAAGACCAGGTTCCTATAGTTCTCTAACATCACATCCTTATACAAAGTCTGCTGTTCAAAATTCAGGCATTCCCATTCCTCTCCAGAAAAATCAATGGCCACATCCTTGAAGGTCAACGGTTCCTGAAATAAAAATGAATAGCACAATGATCATGTGGCCATTGGCTCAGTTCTTAATTTGACCTAGGATGAAATGAGTTAGGGAGAACTACTTTTCATACAGGTGAGTTATCTGAACTATTCACTAAGACATTTTAACTTAGTGGTATTTCTAATGTATTACCTAACTCTCAAGTGAAGACAATATAAAATCCATAGAAGCAGAGCAGATACTGTATTTTTATGAAAAACTAAATGTAAAGGCATCAACGTAAGTATTTACATTTTAAAGTTCTACTTAATGTAAGATAATGTCTGTCTATTTTTCAGGTGAAAAGGACATACTGAGAAAGGTACTTAAGACTCTTTGAAACATTGCTACCTTTTTGGGGGTGGGTCAGGGGTGGGGTAGGGCTCAGACCTGGGGCTTTACACGAGCTCGGAAACGGCTCTGTAGCTAAGTTACATCCCCAGCCCTAAAATCAGAGATCCTAATTCAGTAGTTCTAAACTGGAGAGGGTCTGACAATGCAGAAGCTCACTAGTAACACCAGTATCAGTGGTCCAAAAAACAAACAAAAACAAAACTAACCAACAGCAATAAGGTAGATACCAAGAGGATTCCTTAATGGATTTGAATTGAAAGAGTTTTACGGAATTTACTCTTTACTGTAACAGCAGCACAGCAACTATCCTTTCAATCATTTAAAATACACTAAGTGTCACTGGATTTTTCATACACTAATGCATAAACCCCCAACTAATCTATTGAGACCAGGAATGTGTTTCCTCGTTTATGACATTTTGTCAAACATCCATAAATGTTTTACATACATAATGTAACTCCACCCTCACCAATCCTAGTTCAGTAATATATACAGGTGCATTTGTCTAAGATCTTTATTCCGGGCCTGGGATCATGGAGCAGAACACAACTGTGGCAATGGACACACGAGAGACTATCAGTCACACAGGCAGAAATGAAGGTCACCAAGACCAGCTTGAACCCTTGTAACAGGCAGATGTATAGTATAATTAAAATGTAAACAAGGAGTAACTTGAAGATGTTTCAATGGTAAGATGAGTAACAATAATGTGTGGTTTCTAGTTGCTTTTTAAATTTAGCCCATGATAAGAACTGTATTTTAGGTTGGGCAGTGGTGGCACACGCCTTTAATCCCAGCACTCAGAGTCAGAGGCAGGTAGATGTCAGTGAGTTTGAGGCCAACCTGGTCTACAGAGCAAGTTCCAGGACAGTCAAGGCTACACAGAGAAACCCTGCCTTGCAAAACCAAGAAAGAAAAGAAAACAAGTGTTTTAATACAACATGCCAAGTATACACCTATACACCCTTGAAAAACTGAAATAAAAATTAAAACAAAATTTCCTTTACAAAGTATGATACTTATGTTGTGATATTTTAATCATATTTTATAAGTAAATTAATCAGAATTGATTTTGCCTGCAATTTAAAAACTAATGAAGACCAGCAAGATGGCCCAAGCAGGTAGAGGTGCCTGCTTCCAATCCTGCCGATCTGGGTTCAATATCAAAGACACAAATGGTAGAAAGAGGTGCCTGCTTCCAATCCTGCCAATCTGGGTTCAGTATCAAAGACACGTATGGTAGAAAGAGAGGACTGACTCCGACAAGATCTCCTCTGACCATCACATACGTGTTGTGGTATATACATGTTCCACATACATGCACACAAGTAATTACATGTAATACAGATTTAGAAAAGCAATGTCATGGGTAGGCACTGCCTCTTCCACTTCTGCTTGCTACAGTACTTAAGTCTACACTCACTGCACCAGCCATTCTGCTCTCAAGCATTTGGAATGGGCAACGTGACAATTTCCTCTGAGACACTTTCCCATTTAAATAGCACATGCTTAAATTTCCACACAGATCCCTGGAGTCCTATGGCAGGGTTTAATCCTGCTGGCCTAGGAATTGTTTCTACTCTTTACCAAACTTGTTTTTAATGTTTAAAAGCGCCATTCTGAAGCCAAGAGTCCCGTTACATTCTCATGCTTCTTTTTTTCCTGTTACTATTATATTAATATGGTTGTTGAAGATATCTCTTCTCAGTATTCATTTGGTGTTTTTGCTCCACCTTTTGTGTAATATTTACTCATGAAAAGGTGACCATTACAATTGAGGAAAGATTCTCAATGGTGTAAATTTAGCCCAATATCTGTGATCAAGTCCACAGCCTTTTTTAAAGTCAGTAATTATTAATGTTCTGCAACAAACTTCGGTGCTGGAATATCCTTATTACAAAACTTAAAATAAATGCACAATTTACAAAGTTGTAAAGATAGAGTAAAATGTATAAAGACTGTCAGGTCCAAAGCTTCCCTTCCCCCAAAATGGCAGCGCTGGTGACATTGTCCTAAACAGGACCTCGGCCCGGGAAAAAGAAGGATTATTACTGGGTAAACAAGCCTAAAGGTTTCTGTCCACTAGACAAGCAGAGCTCTTAAGGTTTTTGTTTTGTTGTCTTTTTTACCAGGAGTCTACCACAAAAGTGTCCCGGTTTGTCAGGAAGCCTCCCTATACCCGTTTGGGTGTGTACGGTCATGTGGATGAAGGACACCCCTGCACTGGTCCTGGGCATCTCTCTGACAATTCTCGAGGTCCACCTGGGAATGCCCCAAATGGGAATTCTCGTCCCCTGGACATTTACTCTAAATCTCTCCTATCCGATTACTCTGCTCCTGGCTGCCTCCCCGCCTGCTGTCTCTCTGATGCCTCTTGGAGCTTGCTCTCTAACCTTGGCTAACCACTGATCTCTCCTCTCTTCCCTCTTCCCCAGGAGCTGCCTGTTCGTCTCTGTCCCACTCACCGGATCTTTCTGTTTCTCTCAGCTCCTGGAGCCTACTCTACAGAGGTCTAGCAGGTACACCCTGCAGCTTCTGAGGCCCTCCTGGGCCTCTCCCTCTCCTGGAGTTCCTATTTACAACACTTTTCCCTAAGCCCCCCCCACCTCATTGTCACTCTGCTTCTGAAAGATCTCTTCTTTCCTACTCTGTCTCTCAGCTCCCATCTCTGACCATGACTCTTCCCATTCAACATTAGACTGCTCACCTGCCTCCTCAATTCTCTTTCCTCCTTAGACTCAGGGATTCCATTAAAGTCTTGCTGTCTTACTGAAACAGTTTGGCCTCCGTACAGACGAGATAATCAGTCTCAATGGCCAGAAAATGCCACCACACAAGCAAATGACCCAAGAATCCCCTTTTCTCTAATCCTTTTCTACTCTTCTCAGAAGATCCCACACTCTAAGACTTGCCTGTTCTTTTCAGAAGGTCCCACACAGACCCCACACTCTAAGACTTCCCTGCTCTAAGCTGCTCTTGTCCCGCCCTCTGATCTTGGATTCAGTTTTAAAGATTCAAACATCATTGGGGTATACATAATATTAAAAATGGGTTTTATACTATTCTACTAAAAAGCTGTCTCTGGGGTTGAGCTATGGCCTCTCTCCAGAGCCAAGCATGCTTATTTAAAAGCCTCCTCCAAAGTCTCTGTGTCCTGGGTCAGGCTGGCCACTGACTGTGACAGGGAGAAGGAAGGCAAAACAGAACAGCCCAGGGCAAGATGCTGTGTGCTTTACAACAGCTAGAGTGAGCTATTCCCAATAAGGATTACTGCTGCCTATCTCATACTCTTTTTCTTGATTTTATTTAACTTTCTGAATACTCCCTTCTCTTACTCTTACTGAAGTACAAATGTTATTTCAAGATTTATAAGACCATGTGTAAACTTTCTGTATCTCAGGATTTTTAAGTTTGCTGGGTATGGTTTCTAAAAGATCTGTAATAAAGTTAGCTTAAAACTTGTAACAGAAAGGTTTAATAGGAAAAAAATCTTAAGTTGCTACAACATTCTTATATCAACTTGGATTCATCTCTTGTTTAGCAAAATAGATGTTTATAAAAGGGGGGAAGAAAAAGTGGGTGCCTGATGGCTCACTTTAGAATAAATAGCCACCATGTGGCTGGCAGCCAATGGGACTTCATCACCATCTTGGTTAAGGGACCATGTAGTATAAACCAACTAAGGCAGCACCCACAAAACTCCTCAGTCCCACTGAGCCCTCTGCTTCTCATTGTATCTCCCACTTTAGATTAAGGAGGCAACACCAGGCCTCCAAGATATTTTGGATTAGGATGGATTTTTCTATGATGATTTTTGTCCTGAGAGTAAAAAATAACAGATAAGAACAGTTTCTGGAATAGGACTTAAAAACATGTTTGATGATTAAGGTTTATGAATTCCTAAGGTTACAAGGTCTACTCAGGTTGTTGTAGAATATTATTTTAAGATATGTTACATTTGTTTATGCTATGGAACATTTGTTTAATGATGCAAAGCTCTTTTGCATTCTTTTATGTTGCATTTGTTTAACTCTGTGAAGCTGTGATTCTTTACCTGTCTAAAACACCTGATTGGTCTAATAAGGAACTGAACAGCCAATAGCAAGGCAGGAAAAAGGATAGGCAGGGCTGGCAGGCAGAGAGAATAAATAGACGGAGAAAGCTGGGAGGAGAAGAAAGAACAAGAGAACATGAAGTAAGAGTGAAAGTAACATATACAGATAAAAGCCCAGAGGCAAAAAGTAGATGAGATAATTTAAAGTTAAGAAAAGCTGGCAAGAAACAAGCCAGGCTAAAGGCTGAGCATTTATAATTAAGAATAAGCCTCTGTGTATGATTTATTTGAGAGCTGGGTGGTGGGGCCCCCAAAAGACCAAAGAGCAAAAGTAGAAAAAATAACCAAGAACAGGTTAACAGAAAGTAACTTAGAGATGAAGGTCTAACTACTTATGTCTTTGCTAACTGTGTTCAACACCAAACTTCTAAAAACTTTCTTCAGATAAGGAACATGTTTGATGAAAAGGGGTTATGAATTCCAAAGGTCCATTCAGGCTAGCAAAACCTAACTTGAAGATGTATGTCTAGCCTTTCTGTCTTTGCTAACTTTTTAAAGCTTTAGCTATTTGGATAAAGTGACTCATACAAGAAAAGTGTGATATTCTATAAAGGTGCACTAAGAAAGGATCAGTAAAGCAAGGTTCCTAGTCTCTCTGTGGACTGTATTTTTGGTTTAAAGTTTTATTTTGATGCTAAAGAATCTTCAATTAAATCTCCAATTCCAATTTTTAAGGCTCAAACTTAACAGGAAGGAAACTATAAAATTCTCATCTTATAAAAGCCAAGAACTTGTAAACCGTTAAAGATAATTAAGACATGAAAGTTATGGTCAGTTACCTTATAACTTTAGTTATGCTAAGTACAAATGTAATTTATTTATAGGAACAACCTTTAGCCGTCTGAACATGTTGTCAAGGTTAAGCCTATTTTATAAGTAAAGTTTGTATAAAATCAGGTATACTTAACAAATTCCAGGCCAGCCCTCAAATCCCTCAGAGAGATTTGGTGAAAAATGGCTTTTGAGGTATTTAATGAAAAAGCTTCCTGTGAAAGACAGAAATGCCAGCTCCTGGCTACAGCCCTAACATCTCCTCCAAAGAAGACCGGGGAAGGGGAGGCAGGGGAGGTAGACTTCACTTGGGAATGTGGTTCATATACAGCTGCAATGGTCACTGGGTGAAGAACTGCCCTGCAGCCCGCCAGCCGCCAGGACCCTGCCCAAACTGTGGGGATCTGGAAAATCTACTGCCTTGCTGGCCTTACCAAGGTAGGTGAGTTCCCCAAGCACCTCCTCTTCAGGAAAGTTTCTTGGATCTTTCTAGGCCTGGTGGCCAAAGACTGATGCTGCCCTGGGACCTCTACCCCCAACAAAGGCATCGAGATTACCATGGAGGAGCCCAGGCAGCCCATCCAGATAGCGGGTATGTCTTCATCACTTTTGTTGTTGTTGTTGTTGTTTTGGTTTGGTTTGGTTTTGGGTTTTGGTTTTTTCGAGACAGGGTTTCTGTGTAGTTTTGGTGCCTGTCCTAGAACTCGCTCTGTAGACCAGGCTGGCCTAGAACTCACAGAAATCTGCCCAGCTCTGCCTCCCGAGTGCTGGGATTTAAGGCGTGTGACACCACCACTCAGCCAAGTCTTCATCATTCTTAATGGATACAGAGGCCATTTGGTCTATACTTCCTACTCAAATACATTCTTCTCAGATCTCCGTGATGGCATTGGCAGTGTACCCTAGCTTTATCACAAGGTTTAGCTGACCTCAACCAGACCCTCCCACTAGGCTACAGAGCCAGATCAGTCCATTCATAGCTAGAAAGTCTGTTTCACCTTACGAGTATTTTGGCTTTACAATAACTTGGGGTACAAAAGTCATACGTGTTACTTGCTGATGGTACAAATTTTTAAAACTTTAAAAGGTTTAAATTATCTGAGTCTCGTAAATAAAAAAGGCTTTGAAGCGGAGACCCAATTAACTACCAGCCTGAACTGGTTCCGCATGTAAAACTCAAGTCTTGCTACCTGGTCTCCCGCTGAGAAAAGCAGACTTACAGACAGGTTTGCCTTGCTGACAGGCTGAGAAAGGTAAACTCACAAAACAGATTTCCATGTCTAAAAAAAAAATGCATTTTATTATTCCTTTATTTAAAGAACTTGCTTTTTAATGCATTCTTTCAGTAATCAACACCTCAGTGGGTAAAGGCACTTGTCACAACCTAAATTTGGTCCCTTGAACTCACACTATGGAAGAACAGAATCAAGTCCTGCAAGTTGTCCTCTGACCTCACAGGAACACCTTGGCTGGCATGCACCTGCCCCACTCAGAAGATAAATAAATGAAAAAGTAATAATAAAAAAATGATGCAGCAAGAAAAACTAGTGATCTTAAACAAGGATGCAAACATGCCCATGAGCCCTACCACCTTCCATCCCCACAAGTAACGCAGAAGGACCAGAAAGTAAAGACCCCTTTATTTCCAGAACTGGTTTACAGCACACACTTCCCATGATTACTTGGTAGCCTAGATTCATTCTAACAAACTTGCACCAAGGATTTAATTAAGCAAACAGAAGACCTTCCATATCCTAAGCACAGAATATTATCAAAAAGCTGAAATAGCTGAAGTGCCTTTCTGATGGGTGTATACTAAGGCATCTAGCGGCTCCCAGTATCAGCTCCCAGTAGGTTCTATCCTCACACCTCAGGCTGCTAAGGTGATTGAGCCCAGACACTGATACGCACTGGATGCTCACAGACACCAGAGACACGGCAGCTGGTGTTAGGCATCTCTGAAACTGGGGCAAGTAAAGATGAGGATAGACCCATCACTATGTAAAACCTCCGGGGGGGGGGGGAGCTCAACCCCAAAGCATTCTGATTGGGTTCCTATGTCTAAGGCAGACAAAAAAGGAGAGGCATTAAGATTTTAAAAATTAAGCGTCCATTGATTTTATGTGAAATATCCAGAGGAAATCCTTAAAAAAGTGTCACCCAGTATGTGGAGGGAAAAATATCAAAATCAACCGAACAAAACTTATGTCTACTTGAAATGCAGAGTGGGAAATAGATGTTAACATTGTTTTGTTTTGTTTTGTTTTAAGTTAGTGTTTGGGAATGCAGTCGGGAGATAGGAATCTCCCACCACCCATGGCAGAAGCGAGGCTAGAGGAAGAGCAGACGTCTGGCAATGAGGTTCTGCTTCGCCTGTATCTGGAACGCTCGGGAGGGGCCGGGCACCTCACAGAACACAGCTCCTTCCACTGCGGGAAACGCACACGGGAGCTGGGACACCCTGACCCGCTGATGATCCGGTCATCGCTACACAATCCGAGCTGCTGGACCGGAGCGCTGAGGACTCCAGTCGGGGAGCAAGCCGCTTTCTAGCGAGCGATCGGACAGGACGGCAGGGTCGGACCCTTGGCCTTCGCCCACTGCCCGGCGGCTCGGGGGCGCGGCAGGACACGGGGTCTCCAACACACGGCCCACCCACCGGGGATCAACCCGGCCGCCTCCGGAGCCAGCCGCGGGAAGGCGGGGTCGCCACAGCCTCCCTCCAGTCGCCGGCTCCCCTCGGCTCCACGCAGCCTCCGGCCTCGCCGCGCCACGCACACACTCAGCAGCTGGCTTCGGCCGTGCCCTCCGTCCTCCCTCAGCGATCGCCGGCCGCAGCCGGTTCCCACGGGCTCCGCGCAGCCTCCCTTCAGTCTCGTGGCGCCATGCACACTCACCATGGTGGACCGGCGTCCGCGGTGTCCGCGTCCTCCCGTGGATGGCCCGGTACCCGACAGACGCGGGGCAAACGGATGCAGCGGGGCCGAGCCAGCGTCCACACCGGAAGAGACCCAGCCTGCGGAGGATTCCAAGATCCTGGACTTCAGAAACAAAACGTGAAAGCCCGCCCCCTCCACCCTTTCTAAACGTCTGATTGGAAGGTCTCACTATCGGGCTGCTGATTGGATGACTCTCAGGTCCCGCCCCATCAGGCCCCAGCACTGCCCTGCGAAGCTGGAATGACAAGTTCTTGGTACAGTTGTACTAAAGTTGACCCTAAAGGAGACATTGCATTTAATCTCATATTTAAAGTCATACCGATTTATGAATCATATGTATGTATATTATTCTCAATAGAAAAGAACTTTATGGCAATTTTTGTTCCTAAGCTCTCTTCCTGAATTCTATATTTTAAAATGGGAAGCAGTCCCCTGAATCAGCAATATCCAATATAAAAAGGGGGAGTAACAACCAAGTGTAATATTAAACTTTCTAGTATTAATATTAAAATGAAAACAGGCGATAGTGATTGTAATAAAACCCAGTATATCCAAAATATTATCATTGTGTGGAATAGTTATTGTTACTGATATATATGTATATTTACATAGACACATATTATATAATATATATTTTATATATAATATATATATACTGTGTGTATATACACACACACATACACATTTCCATTACTGTACTAAATCATCAAAATTCATGGAGTCTTCAGCAGATTTGAGTTCAGGTCTGTCACATTCCTCGTCTAAGGGCTATGACTTTCTTGACCTCAATAAGATGAGAGGCCTGAGAATCTCTCGCATTTATGTCATAGGTGAAGAAATACAATTCCCTGTCAATATTTCTCTTAGGTCCCAGTGAATGGGAGTAACAGTGTTCTAAAAGAGAGCAGGGAGCTCCAGCCAGGAGGGGTCCAAAGGTGGGCACAGGAGGGAAACCCTTGTCTCCTGATCTTTCCACAGACTTCACAGACTTACCCTCTGTAGTTTAAATAGATTAAAAGCAAAGTTCCTTTTTTTTCCAGTTTGGCCTTGTATCTATTTGTCAGACTGTGGATGTCTGTTTTCTCCTGTGATGTGGAATACTGTGTAAATTTAAGGACCCAACCATATGCACAAATGTCTGCAAAATGTCCTGTACAATTCAACACCATCTAGCAAGAGATCTAACTTTAATTAGTGGGAAGGGAAATTAATGCATACATAGCAGCTGCCATTTGCCAGGTAACTTAAAATTAGAATATCATTAAGTTGTGGCATCATGCCTGTAAGGACACATTACTTTTCTATCCCTGGATAACACACCACTTCTACACTTATTAGTTGGTGATTGGTTTGCTTCGCGATAGAGGTTCAGCTGGGCTACTTCTGGTGCATCTGGTAAGTGGATGATTGTCAAGATGGCATGGCCTCAGAAGAGTGAGCTGGTATCAGCCGAGGCATCTTTACCAAACCCCTTAGGATATCTCATCTTTGCAGCAGGCTACTGTGAACTTGTTCTCATAGAAATGGAGGTGTCTTGAAAGAGAAAGGAAAAACGTTCAAGACCTTTTCAGCCCAGGTATCAGACTAATGCACTTTAAGAGACACAAGGTTATGTGAGTTGTGGCCAAATGAGGTCAACTCAGTTGCAAAGTATAGAAAAAGATACCACCTGTGATGGGAGCAACAGAAAAAGCGTGTTGCCTAGGTCATTGGATGCAGGGAAGAACAAAGACATGCTGACATTTTTGCGTTCGGTATCATTATGTCTTGTCTTATTAATAAGGTTCAACTGTTCCAAGTCAAGGAATTTACCAAAACAAGACTGGAATTCCACAAGTCTCCCTGACTTTCAAAGTCCAACCACTGACTCTAGAACTTGTGGTTCACCCCACCTATATAGTCCTTTTAGGACCTGAATAGCAACCTTACTCAAAAGAGCAGGCTTTGTGTCCATGAACTATTCTTCATTATTGGGAATGATCTTTTTTTTGACAGAATACTTCTATAGCTTCTGCCAAGGACCTAAAATAATTTGGGGAGATGTTTGAGGGGAAATGTTTTCCTCAAAAGAAAAAGAGTGCCAGCTGAGGAGCGAAAGAGCCACTGGCAGCGCCGATCTCCCCAGTGCGCAGATGTCCTTTGACAGATGGAAAAATGGTGAAAGTAAGCCCAGGCTTACCTTGGTTTGGGAAATAAGTGAACTTGCCGGTGAAGTAGCAGGCATAATAGGAGTCAGTTTTTCAGGCTGCAGAGACAGGGTTGCAGCTGCATTCCAGCATAGAGAAAGACAGAGTTCTTCAGTGTTTCTGGGGTGTATATTTGTGCCAGATGTGAAGTGCCTTGATGGGTTCTTTTACTAAGAATCGCATATTATAGTGTATTAGGTAAGAAGGAGATGCCAGAAAATGTGAATTCTTCTCTCTGGACGTTCCCAATTTAGTAAAAGGTTACAGACCAATGAAATTGAGAAACAGCACAACGCTAAATATTGGTTTGTAGAAGTTTAGCTCTCAAAATGGGCAGAATCTTCCTTGACCATATCGGTGGTACCCGTCTGTTTTCTTGTGCAAACTGTGATAACGATCCTGACCAACCGCTGAGAACTCATCTCTACGAGGTTCACAGGCGCCACTGGTAGAGCATTTCTTTTTAACAAGGTATTTAACTTGCAGTACAGTGAAGTTCAAGATCGGGTCATGCTCACTGGCTGCCACATGGTTAGAGATGTGAGCTGCAAAAACTGCAATAGCAAACTGGGCTGGATCTATGAGTTTGCTACTGAAGACAGCCAGCGTTATAAGGAAGGCCGTGTGATCCTGGAACGTGCACTAGTTCGAGAGAGTGAAGGCTTTGAGGAGCATGTACCATCTGATAACTCTTGAAGAAGAAAGATAAATCCATCTTTTCCCAGGTCTCCTTCACTGAAAACAAAAATCTACTTACATACACTGTCACCTTAGCATCAGCGTCGGATTCATGAACTGCGGAACAAGAGGGTGTGAGAATCTTGAGATGGAATCTTTCTTTCTCTCTCTCTCTCTTTTTTTTTAATTTTGTATTTCCCATCCAACAGCAATTTGTAGAGAGAATATTTTGCAGATGCCGTTAATTTTTTCCCTATGTTTACATCTTGAGGCATAAGAGTCTGCAGCTACATGGTGGGCTATATGAGGGGGAAAAATTGGGGCTCCTAGAGTGAAAAAGGAGTGTCTTGTGTACATTTTGAGTAGAAAATATGTCAAGAGCATGGTTTTTAAACTTATTTGGGCTTCATTTTAAACTTTCTTTTAAACCCAGTTATTTCACTTAATTTGCTAGCTTCAGGAAAAGATCCGAATCTGTGCCTGGCACTGGAGGCTCAGTGTTAACATGCCTTGTGCTGGCCAGTGTGCCATATTCTTGTTGGAGAGGAACTGTAGCACCAGAACCCATTCTTCCTTGTCAGACTTGACCCACAGATGTCACCTTCCCTAGCTCCTTGTCACCATGTACTTGGTGTTGATTGGAAACTTTCTGAAATGGGGCAGAACTGCTTGGCTGTCTTTCCCATGTAACTTAAGCATAGTAATATAAATAAAGTGATAGTTGGAAAAAAAAAGAGTGTGGGGGAAAAACTGGGGAAATCAAGCACCAACCATACATTTTTTATGTCCCATCACAAGAGAAATTTGAAGACATGTATAATATATCCCAGAGACATGAAAATTCTTTTCACCTTTTTTTGGTATTTGTAGGATATTTTTGTCTCTGATTCAGGCAGGATGAAATTACTACATCTGAAACAACATATTACTATGAAAACAAGTGACTTAAAGACATATGGAGTGTCTGCTGAAATAGATAAGTTCAAATTATTTATCTCATCTTGGTTTAATTTTAGTCAGTCATATGCATCTAGAAATATATCTTTTTCTTTTACATTTTACAGTTCAGTGGAATATATGTTTTTAACATATGTCCTAAGGATTTCCTGAATTTCACTGGAGGTCAACTTAAATGGGTAGCCTAGTCACAGCACAGCCATATCTGGAGATGGTGATCCTGCTTTCATGGCATACATGCTCCGCTGGGTATTTCACAGCATACTGGCTTCTCTGTAGGTGTCCAAGTTACCTCCACTTCCAGTAAGTTGTAGTTTGATATCAGGACCTAAATTTCACTTATTTCACATTGAAATAGATTCTATCAAGATTCCTCCCAAAGGCTGAGAAGATATCTTTGTATGGTTTGCTGTCTGCCTTAACCAGAACTTGGTACTATATGTGAACTTTTAAATTTGAATAATTACTGTCAGACGAAGTTTATTTTTTAATTTGATAGATATGTTAAATTTTCTGCTTTCATTATATGCTTTTTTACATATTTTAGATGCTCTTTTATATTCTGTACCTTAAGCATGCATACATATTCATGCAGACACATAAATCCATACTCTAAAATCTTAGATTGTTTCTACAGTCCCACCAATACCATTTCCATCATGCTTTTTGACCTTTTGCTTTCCTTTGAAAAAATGTTTTATATTAATAATGACAAGCTTCATTTGTTCCCGAAATCACATCCTTAAAGGACTTAAACTTTAAAATAAATAAGTCTATACAAAATTCCATGGCAGTCAGTATTCTTTTCACTATGATTTTGACTGCATCCTTATCCAAAATCAAAACTGAGATAAAATTGACAGTTTGGGCATCTTTTGCAGTGACTGGCAGCAGCCCTAGCCAGCCTTGCCCTAGCCTTTTTCCACCTGCAAATTACTGAGAATTTTTGTTTACTGTAGAATTTATCAAAAGGAACGTTCTTGATCAACAAAATTATCCCCCAGTTTTGCAAGAGCAGTAAGCACTCTCCCTTGCCGAACCATCTCTTCAGCCCATTCCATCTTTTTATCTACATGGTTTCATTCTCAAAACTTTTGATCAACTTCTGTTCATTCTGTTTCTTCATTTTATTCCTTAATCATTCAATCTTTGTATTATGAGTTTAGCAGGGGAGATATTTTGTCAAATGCTTCTTTGCATAGAATGAAATGATTACAGGAACTTGGCCTTTATTCTCTTAATGTTGTGTGGGATATTTATTGATTTGCATATGTTGACCCATTGCTATAT